GGTTCGGATGGCCCCGTCTCGTCGAGATAGCCGATTTTCATATATAATTCGTCTAATTCCGACTTACGGTTTGAAAGTTATGACCTGTTCTTCGCAGCAAATTATGTTCTGAGGTCCGTCTGCAAGACTGGACTTCATCAGAACATTGGACTTAGCCTGAAGCCCGCCAAGCCCGCCTAAGGTTCGCCTCTGCATTACAGAGTCAAAGCGCACATGCTCAACTCTGCGTTTTCAACATCAAAACGCAGAGTTAATCGCTAAAACAGCACAACTGTGCGTTTTCAGCCTTTAAACAGGCTCAACTCTGCGTTTTCAATCTAGAAACGCAGAGTTAATCTTTAAAACAGCACAACTGTGCGTTTTCAGCCTTTAAACAGGCCAACTGTGTGTTTACAGGTCAACTGTGCGTTTATGGGCTCAACTGTGCGTTTACGGCTCAACTGTGCGTTTATGGGCTCAACTGTGCGTTTTTAGCCTGAAACAGGCCAACTGTGCGTTTACAGGCCAACTGTGCGTTTATGGGCTCAACTGTGCGTTTTTAGCCTGAAACAGGCCAACTGTGCGTTTACAGGCCAACTGTGCGTTTACAGGCCAACTGTGCGTTTACAGGCCAACTGTGCGTTTACAGGCCAACTGTGCGTTTACGGCTCAACTGTGCGTTTATGGGCTCAACTGTGCGTTTTTAGCCTGAAACAGGCCAACTGTGTGTTTACAGGTCAACTGTGCGTTTATGGGCTCAACTGTGCGTTTTTAGCCTGAAACAGGCCAACTGTGCGTTTACAGGCCCAGCTGTGCGTTTTCAGCCTCAGCTGTGCGTTTTCAGCCTCAACTGTGCGTTTTCAGCCCAGCTGTGCGTTTTTCAGCTCCAGCTGTGCGTTTTCAGCCCCAGCTGTGCGTTTTTCAACCTCAACTGTGCGTTTCAGGTCCAGAAACGCACAGTTCGAGCCCAGAACGCTGTTTTCAGCGTTTAACTCGTTCAAGCACGATTTGAACGGTTCCAGAACCGTTTTCTCCCCAAGATTTTAGGGGATCACTACCCTATCATGGAGAGATTTATGGGGAGCAGTTAGACCCCATTAAACCCTCATTAAGGAGATATTTAAGGGGGCGGTTATACCCTTAACCCCCTATAAATACCTCAAAACTCAACTGAGTTCGGATCCTCTTTTTACCCTTAATCCCCTATAAATACCTCAAAACTCAACTGAGTTCGGGCTGGGATTTTGGCTTGGGAGAGAAGGCTTTTGGCTTTTTGGCTCTCGGCTTGAATTGTTGGAGTTTTGGGAGACCAGCAACAGGAACTTCTTCCTTGGCTTATTAACCGAACTTTCGGTTCAAATCAACTCTTTTTCAAGAGTTCAAACTCGTTCAGAGTTATCAACTCGATCAGAGTTCAAAACTTACTCTACGAGTTCTTCTAAAACTCGTTCAGAGTTATCAACTCGTCAAGAGTTATTTCAAAACTTGCTACGCAAGTTCTCCACAGCGTCAAATCGTGAGGAGATGACATCGTTCCAGTGAATCAAGACGTTCGGATCGTCAACGAGAAGCAAACTCGACGCGAGCATTCGAGGGAGGCATCTCATCGCCACCGTGAAGAACCCAGAATTAAACAAAGGGGAGAATCGAATTCATTCTCCTCTCTTTTGTAATCGGAATCCAAATTGTAATTGATTTTGAGAGGAATACAAGTCAAATTTTTCTTTCATTATTTCTTTTACTGCAAATTTCCAACAAACAATTACTTAATTCTAATTTTCTCCTCATCACAATAGTAAGCTTTAATTAGTGTCTTAGACTCTTAACCTTCCATAACTCATTAATTAATGTGTTGAATACGAAAATTCACCAACCCCTTTGGCTTGAATTTAAATCTCCATCAAGTGACATGGCCAATTGAACTCCACGCATAATGCAAAAAATTCCTTCAGCTAATGTAGTCATTCACATTATCCACGATAGCCATGAGCTTTTAATGAAACTCCAAGGCTTTTCGTTTCCCGTTCGTTATCCTTATCATTATGCAACAACGCTTAAACTTTTATTGATTTCTATTGACTATATCTTTCATATCTCCCTCATTTCACCATCTCCGCTCTCATCTAAATTTCTCTCTCAACTCCACATTCTCCTCTGTCTTCCTTCCTCTTGGTCAATGCTTTGTTCTCCTCCTTCTCAATATCTAACCAGCGTTAGCATCTTTCAAATTCAATCTCAAGCCTGTCATTTGTCGAAGGGGGTTATACAAGGAGAGAGCACTGGTATGAAATCCATTTCATAATTTGAGCTCTGTTATATTTCTTCGTCATCTGATCTCTTTGTACATATTGGTTAGTTTTGTTTGATTTCTATGGTTTTAGCTAATTAGATCTCTTCAAAGAGTGATGGCTAGAACTTGTTTTCGATCTATTTCTTGTGATAAATTGACGAAGTGCGCTCAATATCACACCGTCGAAAAAGAAGTCGGCCTAAAGCAAGGTGTGAGAGACATTTTCATCCACTTCGATCGAATTTGTTTTCTTTCTGCATTTTTATTAGATTTATTAAATTTATGTTATTCTTGGGCAAAATTTAACTTTACATTTTCCATGTGATGGATGTGCCTTGGATCTTAGTTTTTTTTACAGGATCTTTCTCAGAGCTGAATATCTTTCACGTTTTTGTTAGTTTAGATCCTAGATCACATTTGTGCATTTATTATCTTAAAAAACATAACCTTCTAATATCATTGTGGATTTTAGACTTGAGGTTAAATTTTCTAAATTTATTTACTCTTTGTAAATCCTATTATGACCCAAGTTCAGTAGTCTTTTTAGGTGGTAATTTGGTACTACAACTGGTTATTCGTACTCTACTGCAAACAAGAGCATGACTATTTTCTTGAAGCATAACAGTATGCATGATTACCTACTTGATCCAAAGAAGGTATGACCTCTCAGCTTCATAGTAACGCTATGTGATATGAGGAACTTAGCCCCTATTTTACTTAATTTTGTAAAATAGGGAATAAACAAATGGACCTGAAAACAAAAGCCCTATTTTTCAACCCGTACCCGTTCCCGACCCGTTCTCTAAAATCCTAAACCGACCCAACTCCAGCCGCCAGCCGCCTTTCCCGTTTCCCCTTCTCCAACCCCCTTTCCCACAACCTCCGCCGCAACCCGCTCCGACCCCCTTCGCCGCCCACCTCCGCGCTCGCAACAAGTTTCGCCACTATTGCCTTTGCTACAGTGCGCCAGAATCAGAGAAATGGTGATGTTCTGCTTCCGAAGCTGAGTTTTTTAAGGGGAGCGCAGGATATTTTTAGAGGAAAGAAGAGGCTTTTGAAGGCTTCCTTGGTCCGAGTTGTAGCTGAAAGTTTCTTTCTTGAAATTGTGAAGTGGGTTTGTGAGGGTTGAATCGAATTTCAGAGAAAGAGGTATGACATCTTCCCATCTCATCAAAATTTCCTTCCTTTTTTTTCCACTTTAGAAATTCAACTGCTAAATTTATGACATGGGTTTTAACCCCTCAAGAAAAAAAAAGAGAGAGAAACCTAAAGGGAGGAGAGCCAAAAACCCTAAATTTATCTTATTGTCATCCCCAGACTCTTTCAAAACGGCGCCTTGGGGCTTCGGATTCGGCGGTTCAAAACTTCTGAGTGTGGCCAAAGCCGGAGCCATGGCGATTGGGGTTTCCTCCTTGTCGGGTCCTGTACGACAGTCTCTCTCCGGCCCGACCCGACCCGTTAGGGCTTCGTTCCGGTATTTCCCTTTCTTCTTTCCCCCATTTTAATACCATTTTTGAGGGTTAATTGCGCATAGGCCCCTGAAGCACCTCTGTCTTGAACTTACTATTCTTGTAGTTTCGTTTTAGGAGAGAGACCCGAATGAAAAATTTTGACTCTTTGACCGTCAGAAAGACCCACTAATTTCACTCAAGGACAAATATCTACCAATTTTTCACCCAGAGTAAAAGAGTACAAGAAAAGGGTAAATTGCATATAACCCCCCTCATCTATATGTTTGGCTGCACTAAACCCCCAACTTATTTATTAGCACTTAGTCTCCCCTCAATTCATGGGAAAGAGGCACACTACTTGCAATATATCTTTCTAAAAATTGCTAAACCCCCTTCATCTCATTTATTAGCATTAAGCCTCCCTCAATTTCATGACAAGAGGAATGTTGCTTATGTTGCTTGCAATTTATCTTTATAGAAGTTGCATCTCAAGGGTGCTATGTGCTCAGGGTATAGACAAGGGGGGTTATGTGCAACTCAGGGTATAGACAAGGAGGGTAAATAAGTTGACGGGGTTGAGTACAACTCAGGGTATAGACAAGGGGGGTTATGTGCAACTTGCCCAAGAAATTAACCCGGGGTGTATCTTCCAAAATGAAACTACAACATAGTAAGATTAAAACAACGATACTAGGAGGGGTTCTATGTGCAATTAACTCTTTTCCTAAAGAAGATTTCCATCTAAAAATATCTAATTTTCTGGATGAATTTCTTCTAGTTTCCAAGGCTTCCAGAACTATCACAGACCTGCTTCTCCAAGTGGAGGAGGATGGCGCGGGGAAACGGACCGAATAAAGTTTTTGAAGTTGTCTAACTCAGTTAGCGAAAATGTTGCACATGGTCGCATTCTTGGAGAGTTTGAAGATGGAAGCGGTTATCGCAGAGATTCATCTCAGTTTGGTAATTTAACAGATGTGTCTTGGCCCAAAGCACAATTTAGTTATATAGTCGATACTCTTCCTAAAGAATACTATCCTAGTGAAATAAAAGAAAATGCCAATGTGGTTCAAAGTGAGAAAAGAGAGAATAAATGTTTAGTTAATGGAGCAAAGGTTACGAAGACTTCTAGTGCGCTGGTCGATCCCAAGGAGAAGCTTGTTGGGATTTATGATAAGGTTCTTGTGGTGGATAACATCTCCAAGGCAAAGGAAGTTGTTAAGTTGCTCACTACCAAGTATAGGGATTTCATCCATGCTTGTGATACAGAGGTAATTTGGCAATAATGCATTTGTTATTGGGATTGCTTGCTGTTTAATGTTGTTGAAACTTTTCTTTATGTGCTTCTAGGAAGTCACTATTTTCTCAAATAATTTGTAGTTCTGTATTTTTTTATGGTAATTGATAGAAAAAGTTAAAGTAGCAAAAAAATAAAAATAAAAAATAAAATTAAAAAAAATAAAAAATGCTGAGGCTAAGAAGTGAGCGCTAGAAGAAAGTTTCTTTCTCTTTGTTATTGGAAAGCAAACAATGTTGTGTTCATTGCCAATGTTTTTCTTCTATTTTCCTGCTTTTGTGGTTTGTCTTTTCATTTGGCTGCTTAAGGTTTCTTAAAATGCACAGAACTTCTTACATTGTGTCTGTTTCTGTATGGATTGTCCTCATCTAAAGTAATATTTAGAAAGCTAGTTCTTTAAGAAGTTTCTCCCTAAGTTTTTCTCAAAGTGTTATGTATAAACCCCTTATCTTTTCCCAGGAAACTTATGGAGTTGTATGCAAAGACGCTTCCCTTAGTTTTCTTAGTGTGCTTGGCTCTTCAACTTTATATGCATCTTAGAGCTTGATGAAATTATTTATATTTTTTTACTTAAATGATTTTGTAATAGTGCTCCTTGGTTGTGCAAGCTTCAGATCACATGATCAATAATCTTGGGGTGGCTGAGCGGTTTTCTAGAAATTTTCAAAAAAGTTATGTTTATCGTACTGTTTTAAGGGAAGTATATTGGAAACCAAGAAACCAATAAAAAGTAAACAACCACCTATTTGCGGATGAGTTGGCAGAAGATTTTACCAATTTCGGCCTCTTGAGCACAACAGCAGGTCAAGAAGTTGTATTGTAACTAAGCTGACCCTTTGCCAAAAAAACAACAACTTATCTCGTCCATCTTTCCTTTATAGGTCCCAGAAAAATTTGTCACTGGAGGGTTCACATCAAGTTGACTCCTGGCCCTGAACTTGCCAAAACTTTCATAAAAGTGTTGCACTGCATATCTGATCCCCGTTGATGAGAGAAAGTTTGAGTAATAATAATGATTTATTTTAATTTAATGACTATTATATTAAAAATTCAGGTTTTTTGCCAGAACATATTAGGTTGCTGTTGTTATGTATGCAGAGTAAATTCATTTCATTTGCGACATGCACTCTTAAGCAAACTCTGTATTTGTTGAGGATAGGCTTTATACATCTCACCTGCACAGAATCTTGAAACAGAAGGAGCTTGATGCAATAGGTCAGTTATCTAACTACTGCTTCTGGTGTAGAATAGGGGGCCTAAGCTCACAACTTGGAACTGCTTAAACATATGCACTCCTGGATGCAATATTATAAATATTATTAGTTTTAGGATTATCAAAATCCTTCTTCCCAAAAGTCTTTTCTGTAGCACCTTCATGCACATCTAGCTCATAAGTAATACTCTTACTGTTACCTACTTGATACTCTTTTACTAAGGACATTATAATCCTGTTTGAATGTAGTAAGAATTCCTAGTAGTTGCTTGGTTTAAAATTCACTTGATTTCCTTGGCTTTCTTTTGCAGGTAGCCAAGATTGATGTGAAACAAGAGACTCCAGTTGGTCATGGAGAGGTTATCTGCTTTAGTATCTACTGCGGTTCTCAAGCAGATTTTGGTGGTGGAAAATCGTGTATTTGGGTGGATGTTCTTGATGGTGGGAGAAGCATTTTAATGGAGTTTGCACCATTTTTTGAGGATGCATCCATTAAGAAAGTGAGTTACATGATAATTTTAAGTGCTATGCATGTAATTAATAAAGCGGATTAATATTTCTTACATGAGGTTAACATACATGATTTTAACTTTCTGCTATGAACATTATGTTGAGCTTCCCATAGTGTTGATGGGATGATAGACTGTATTTTAGAATTTAGAAATTATCTGACTATAGATACCGATGCGGCGATGCCTATTTGGTATTCAATAGATGAACATTATGGAGCCTTATATTTGAAATGTGGGCAGTGATAACTGCAAAGTTCATGTACCCCCTGATTTTAATTTTCTGTCTACAGCTTTATTTAGAATAAGTCACATATTTGGAAGTGAGAGTTTATAGTACATCAATAAATGAAAAGGTTTCATATGGTGATTTGGAAGTGAAAGTTGATGATGGATCGATATAGTGAGAGTTGATGATGGATCGATATATGAAAGGGGCATGAGGTGTGATGCAGAGAGTGGAAAATTCAAATATGGGACATTGGAAGAAGTTGCAAAAGTGCATAGAAGCATATGTAGATTGTCGGGAGCTAATTCTAGTCTGTAAACTCTTTGAGGAGCTAAAGTCTGAAGTTCGTTAGTCCTACATGTGCTAATTAGCTAACGTTATATGAGAACTTTTTTTTGAACTAGTGGGTAGTGTTGTTGCTTGAGACAGTAAAAAAGCATTCAAGAGGGGCAATGGGTAAAGTAGTATAGTATTAGATTTGGGTAAGGTCAAGCTAGAATATCTATCTAGTAGTTTTCAACTTGACTTGCTTGTAGACGGCTGTGTATTTACAGATGCCTCCGCTTCACCCTCTTGACCCCCTTATTAACCTCTCTGTCTCTTTCTTGTCAATAATCGCAAATCTCTATTACTTAAAGAACTAATATCCAAATGTTAATCACACTTGTATAAGTTGTAATGAAATTATTAAATATATTACTTATAAGTACCTTATAATTTTACAGATTTATAGAAGTAAATTATGTAGAATTTTTTTCCTACAAATAATTGAAATAATTCCTTAAGTTGTTTACAAACCAATACCTTGAAATTTCTCCTTTATTAGTATGCTTTCTTAGTAAAAACAAAATGACCAAGCTTTCCTTGTTTAGTTTAAGTGAAAAAATTTAGTAGCATAAGAAGGCATGATGTTAATTGTCACGTCCAGGGCCTATGTGCCAGTAGACGCAGTGTAAGCTGTGAGACCCATAATTCACTGTCAAAATCAACTAGCCGATGCTGCACTTGAATCTCTAGGCTTACCCTACCAAATTACTATCATCACTCGATGTAGGACTAAAGTTTGGGGTGTCACAATCATCCCACCTTACGTAAGCAACGCCCCCGTCATGACATAAAAATTGGTTCTTCCTGATATCACCATCAGGCAAAGTGAACTATAGAGGTGGCTCCTATTGCATCTACACGGTGTAATACTTAACGCCGTATAGCACTTAGATCCATACTTTTTGGTGGCTAACTGCTCTAATACCATCTGCTATGTCTGAGCTCATTGGCACTGTATAAGCTATGGGATCTACTAAGTGTAGCACGTTGTTTGGCTCAATCCACTATCAAAATCGACTAGCCAATGTCACACTTGAATCTCAAGGTTTGGGTGTCACATTAATAGTGGAGGAGGTGATGAGAGTGGTGGTGATGACTTAGAGTGGGAGATCATGAAGAAATGGTGGTGGAGCCTATACAAAGGAAGAAAGTTGGGGGAGGGAAGGAGGGGGACTATTGTGGGAACATTAGTGATAATGAAGTTTATGGTGGTAAATAAGTGAGTTTATTTTGGTTAGATGGTTAACAAACAGGGAATGAAGAAATTGAAAAAGTGAAGAAAAAAGGCAGTCAAGGAGACGGTGTTGGTGTTAGAGCTAGTGTAGGTTAGAAAGTGGCTTCGATGTTGCTAGAGGTTAGTGTTATACAAAATATGGAGGAAAAAGGTGGGGGGAAAGGAGGAAATAGAAAGGTACAAACGAAGAGGTGGTTGGGCAGAGGATGGAGAGGAACTGAGTTCAATTAAGGGTTTAGCAAGAACAAACGAATACTCAAGAAGAAAAGAATAAAACGGTCTTTGACTTTCAGTTGGAGGGCAAAATGTCCAATATAACACATTATAAAGTTGATTTCTTTTTGAATGTAGTTTGTAGAAAATCCTATATGAGGCTTTATATGATGAAATTTAGGTGTTTTATGTTTAATTTAGCCCTATTAAAATGTTCAGTCGACAGATTAAAGCAGATCAACGGGCTTCTTGTTACAACCAACTTGCTTAAGCTGCTAGTCACAGCGTGTGATTCATTTCAAACCTGTCAGTAACCATTCTCATGAGGCATGTACCTTATGCAAATTGGTTAAAATGCTGCTATCTGATCGATATGTCCAATCTTGGACTACATATATTTGCGTGAATCCTGTTCTGTTTTGTGACCTATATCAACATTGTTTTTATAGTCAAATTTGCATAGTTCTCTTGCAATAGCATTTATGCAAGCATTATATATTTATATGATGAACAAAGATGACTTTTAGAGATGAGGTTTAATGGATCAATTTGTGACCTAAGAGATTGTGAATTTTGAGACTTCTATTTAGCAGTCATGTTAATATTGGAATCAATTGATTATAGTATAGGGGGCCGCTATGACATCTTTATCTTGTACAGGAGTTTGATAGCATTAGAGAGTCTTGACTAGATGGATAGAGGAGCACAACTTTGTCTGATGTGATGGGAACAGAAGTACGTGACTTGATTTCCTGTATGAAGGAGTTAAATGGTAGAGCCAGGAAATTCAGAAAGGGGGGGTTGAAAAAAGTTTGTAGTGATCGAAGCTTCTATATAATTTTCAACACATACATTTCTATATTATTTTCAATTTCCTTTTTGTTTGTAAATATTGGATTCAAGTGTAAATATTGAAAATTTATTGAAATAAGTATCCAATACTTCCAAATTTGTTGTTTTTAATTTATACATTTGATGCTTGCAAATGCACTTAAGATTAAAATAATTATACGTAAGTTTTAATTCACTGGGTATAACCATGTTATCAGTATTTGAATACTTTTCCTGATTTTATATTGTTGAAAATTTCTTTCTACAAAGGAAGTATTATGGTAATCTTTTATTTATATTAAAATCTATAAAAAAAATCAATTGCAGAATAACCATTTTATAGTCTTCCATAGGATACATTTCTACTTTTTTATAATTTTTTATTTTAGAAGAATGGATATGTAATATGATTATGGGGGAAGAGTGAGTGTGAGACTAAGGAACAAAATCTTGAAGAAAAATAGCATTGATCAAAGACAGGAATGGGACTCGTGGGATCCACAGGTGAAAGGATGTAAACTAGATGTATGAAATTACCCTCCTGCAAAGAAATGGAAAGGGAAAGTTTCTATGTCCTTCGTACTGGTACTATCCTCGATCTCTCTAAAAGAGCAGTATAGATGTGAAGTATTCCCTATTTACCTTGTTTTTATTTTCTTCAAGGGGGTCCATGGCCCCATTGGTCCTTACATAGCTCTATCCCTGGGTCCACAGTCACGGAAGGCTACATCGAGGGGCTGAAGTATAATATTGCTCTGAATATGGCGAACACCGACGCTAACTGTACATCAACTTATGGTGACATTTGGAGGCGGAAGTACGTTGCTCTGAATGTGGCGAACATGCGTGCTAACTCTACATCAACTTGAAAGCCTCTATGGAACTTTTAGAGGTTTTCACATAATATGACCATTTAACGTGGAGACTTTCCTTGTCCAAGAAATAATACCACTTCAGTTCTAGTTCAGGTAGTGAGGATTATGGGTGGGTTATGAGAAGTCCTCGGTGCTTGTCTCATCTGTGACTTCCTTTTTTCCCCTTCTGTTCTCTGCTAGCTAATGAACCTGTTCTGCTCCAAAAGAAGGTAATTAGGATATACTTAACAATTTTAAGATTTTAGTGTATTAATAATTTAGGCCTAGTCATCATAAATTCTAATTCGCCTTTATGTCATACATAAAAATTTCCTTAATAAAATCTCATCAGCTGTTATTGTTAGATTTTTAGTTAATATATAGTCATGGCTATTTGATAAAAAAATATTTAAATTTTTACGATCTCGTGTTAAATCCTTTTGCCAATCTTCTTGCATGCATTTGGCATGTGCCAAAGGTCATCCTTGTTACACCCCAGTAAAAAAACCCACTCCTGCCACTGGTCAAATTCATAAGGAGTTCCGGATATCACAATTCAAGATTCAGTTCTATCCTAACTTTGGGAGTCAACTTCTGAGGCATGTTGTCCCTTGGCACAGATTGTTTGTCACACCAAACACTAGCTCAAAGTATTGTCATCAATTTTGTGCAGTTCTTTTATTTATTAAATATCTTCAGCTGTTTGTTGGCAACAATCAACAGAAAGTATTGTCCTAAATTTATATCGTCATCATCCAAATGTTTGTGTATGATTCTATATCATTATTGTTGAAATATTGTGATAGTTGCATATTTTAGCTATCTGTTCAAATCTGACATGCTGTGCGCTTTTTTATTTTTTTAAAAATGTGGAATTAGTGAAAAATTCTTGATTCTTCTTTTTGAAGGTATGGCATAATTATAGCTTTGATAATCATGTCATAGAAAACTATGGGATCAAGCTTGCTGGATTCCATGCAGATACAATGCATCTTGCTCGTCTTTGGGACTCTTCAAGAAGAGCTGATGGTGGGTATTCACTAGAAGCACTCACAAATGATCCAAAAGTCATATCTACACAAAAATCATCTCCTTCTGATGACTTCAATATTGGAAAAATATCGATGAAATCTATCTTTGGCAAGAAAAAGGTGAAAAAAGATGGATCCGAAGGAAAACTTGTCACCATTGCTCCTGTAGAAGAGCTTCAAAGAGAAGAACGAATACCTTGGATTTGTTACTCTGCCTTAGATTCAATTAACACTTTAAACCTTTTCCAGAGCTTGAAGATAAAGCTTGAGAAAATGGAATGGTTGCTGAATGGTGAGTGTAAAGGAAACTTGTATGGTTTCTATGAAAAATACTGGCGCCCATTTGGTTATCTTTTAGTGAAAATGGAAGCTGAGGGAATGCTTGTTGATCGGACTCATCTTTCAAACATTGAAGAAGTTGCTAAAATAGAACAACAAAAAGCTGCGGAGAGATTCCGGAAGTGGGCTTCTAAGCATTGCCCAGATGCCAAGTACATGAATGTGGGAAGTGATACTCAAATCAGGCAACTTTTTTTTGGTGGTATATCCAATAGGTATTTGCATGATTTTTCTGATGTGAAAATTTTGCATACTTTTATTTCTATATTAATGATTTGTTTTAATTGTAACTTGCCATGGTTTTGATATTCATTTTCTCTCAAGCTCTGTATTTTGATTTATGCACATGCAATCCTTCTTCAGTTCTTTAACATTATCATTTAATATTGTTTTGAATTTGTTTATGCACAATGTACTGTAACTGAATGTTTGTGCACCTATTTTTATTGCTTAAGCATGGGGTAATTATATGAATAAAATGCAATTATTAAATTATAATAAATTCAGATTGTTATTTAGAATATATAGGCACTACAACGAAGTCAAAGGGATCTTTCCTGCTAAAGGATAATCCAAATGTATTTCGGGTGTTGTTTTAAATGGTTACCTCTCACCACCACACACACTTGTCACCCTCACCCACCCTAATTGCATGTGCGCACACGACCGAACTGATGAAAAGGGAAATGGAAAAAAAGAAAAACTTAGCAGAAAATTTAGCAAACCCTCCTAGTAAGGTTCTGCTTTGACTATGAGAGGTGTTTTAGGCTGTCAATGAGTTAGATTTGGAATTTTTGTGGTCATCTTGGGCTATTCTCAAGAATCCCAACTAGGATTTTGCACCCAGTTATATAAGGTCATATTTAGCTTGCGATGTTTGCAATTCATTTTTCTAGTATTAATATGGCCCTCTTACTTTGTACATCTAGTTGACTCTTAGAGTTTCTAAATAATCTAGTCATACTAGATTTGTATTTACTCAAACTTCAAGATAAGTGGAAAATGGCTAACCTAGCCAAAACACTTGCAGAAACTTCTCATATACTTTGTCTTGTGATAAGTCAATTACATTTTTCTAACTATTTTGATTTATGAATAAATTAAGCTTAAGGTATCCTATCCTCTCGATTTTCCCTTTCGTTTTGGCTATTTGATTTGTATATTTTTTGAATCCCATGGTTAATATGCTTCACTTTTCATGTAAGTTGAGAATTAGGTTCTACATAGCTTTATTCAACACTATGATTGGAAATTGGTGGGCTGAGGGCATGATATAGATGCTCCTGATTTGGTTTGTACCAGGCTTAAGAATTTTGTTGACTTCAAGGTTCAACAATGTCTAATTGGGACACATTGGATCTACTTTGTTCCCTTACTTCGTGGGAGACCTGATCCCCTCCAGTTTAAAATCACGTCTTACCTTTCAGTGTAATGGCATCTCTTAACCTTTCTTTCAACAAAGCCCTACCTTGAGTAGAGTTGACTTGCTCTATCAATGAGTAAAAGGAAGAATACCTTTCAACTTTGAAGATGATCTTAATCCGCTCCAGCTACTTTTGTGGCCATTTCTATCGAAAATCTTCTATTTTTACAATTTTTAGATATTTGACATGCTAAAATCTTCATCAACAAACACTGTCTTTTTACTACAATTTTAAAAGACGTGAGTAGAAATATAATTATCAAACGGTATTCCTTTCTTAGTGCAAGTCAAAAGTTTTGTGTTATTCTTCTCCTTACATCTATTTTAAATTCAACACATAATCCTAATTGAATATATGCATATGCCTTCTTTAAACCCTTTTCTGAACTGTAAACTCGTATGTAGAAAACAGGGAGCATGAGTAGTCAATACTAACCTGTTTATTATACGTGATTAATTAACACATTTTAGGATTTATTTTGATTTAAATTTTTTCATTGGCTTAAAATGTTGAATTCCATCTTCAACTTTCAGCATTTCGAGTCTTTAGATCAATATTAGATTTAGGATGAGGATTACGGAGAGCGAAAAAGCTAATCTTATACTGTACTTGTTCAAAAATAGATTCATTAATTTTTTAAATATATTAAATATTATTTATAATTAGTAGTCCTATAATTTTTAAATATAGGAGATATATCTATGGTAAAAGAGTTCTTTCACTTCTATTAATAGTATTATTAGTTTCCATCGAACATTAGGGAAAAAACTATGGGGAAGATATGTGCTTTCAGGGAAAATTGTGGGAAAGATAAGTGTAATTTATCTTGCTTTTAGTTTTGTGATCATTGCTGGACATTTTCTTTATGGTTTACTGCTTATGTAATATGTATGTATGTTTTAAATATTTAACTATGGTCTTACCCTGTAATATGTGTGATTTATTCAGTTTCTTGCTATGTAAATTTCCTGTTGTTTCTTTTAATCCTTGTTTTGATTCATTCTTTGCTCTTGTATTTTATTTGTTTCATAGGAAAGATGAATCGGAAACACTGCCTGAAACAAAGACCTTTAAAGTTCCTAACACAGAGAATATCATTGAAGAGGGAAAAAAGACTCCTTCAAAGTACCGAAATATTACATTATGTAACGTCGGCTGTAAAATTGAAACTGAGATGTATACAGCTAGTGGGTGGCCTTCAGTTAGCGGTGCAGCTCTGAAAACGTTAGCTGGAAAGGTCTCCACAGACAATATATATTTGATGGATGATGACTATATGGATTCTGACAGCAGTGAGGAAATTTCTCTTGATCAAACTGCTCATATATTTGATGGATGATGACTATATGGATTCTGACAGCAGTGAGGAAATTTCTCTTGATCAAACTGCTCAAGCTAATGGACAAAGTGGAAAACCTGGTGTTGATTCAGACGATGTAGATGTTTCTGCATATGGGACTGCTTATCAGGCATTTGGAGGGGGTAAGGAAGGGAGGGAAGCTTGCCATGCAATTGCAGCACTTTGTGAAATGTGTTCTACTGATTCCTTGATTTCCAACTTTATTCTTCCTCTCCAGGTAAACTGATATTATGATTCTGTTTTTTATTTGGTTCCATATAAATCACCCCAAATTTTCATTCTATTATGGTTTATGAATTTGAAGTTGAAAATTGTAATTCATGTAAATTCATTTGCATATTATTCTGGCCTTAATCAAGGATACGTTGTGTACACTGATATCTATCGCCCATCCATTATTTGGAAACTTCTACCCTTGACGCCCAATGGTTCATACCAAACTGTTTAGTGTATTTCACATGTATGCAAGATGTATCAGATACGATGAAGTTAAATCAAATGAATTTATTTACACGTCCTTTTGATTTCTAGGTGGATTTATATAATTCATACTGTCGTAGCGTAAAATTATTCATTATATTGCATGTATGATGTACATCATTAATTAAACTAAAAACAATCTGGCCATTATAAGGAGATGCATGCATGTATATGTGTCAATGTATATACTATAAGATCTATGGTAGAACTTCATTGTTTTTTGGAAACATACTTAAAGCACCTACCAAACTCTATAATAAGCCCTCCAAATGCATGGTCCGCCACATATTATCATGTCATGATAGATATATGTATACAAAAATTATGCATTTTTTAAAGATTTTATGTTATTCTTGGAATGGTTCCTTTCATTCTATATTAAACAATTAGGTGTTTTCTAACAATTAGGTGGATGAATAGAAATTTTCAAATTACATAGTTTTCGTTCCAAATAAGTTAGATGTTGTGTTGATCAAGATGAGAGGTTTGAGTCATCACATTAAAGCCAACATGTAGTTGATAGATGGAAACAAATTATAAGTTTTTTAATTAAAACATAAAGCCCTATTCATATATAACATGCATGCACGGGCACAACCGGGAAAAACGAACATCAAACAAAGATAGATCATTGCTCTTTGACATACTCTAGCTTTTATGTTAAGGATTGGTTCCATACTAAGTTTGTCTTTTAACATGATCTTCTAAAGCATATGGCATGTGTCCTCTTTGCATGTCACCTCTGAAGATATTCGTTCTGTTGTTGCTGCAGAAACTGTTCTTTCATTGCCTCATGTGACGTTGTTTAATGCATTTGGATTTTGCTATATTTCTTATAACGTTCATTGTTCTTTTTTATGTATTTATTTATTTATTTATTTTGATAATAGGGTGGTCACATATCAGGTAGGAACGGTCGCATTCATTGTTCTTTGAACATCAATACTGAAACTGGACGTTTATCAGCAAGGAGACCGAACTTACAGGTTAGATGTCCTAGTCTCTTTCTTTACTCTTGTAAAGAGTAGTTCTTAATAATGATTATTTATTGATTGTTAGTAAGTAACTTTGATGCTGATGCCATTGCTAAATTAATAACCTATAACTGCTATGCATACACAAAAATGGGAAGGAAAAAAAGGAAGAAGAAACAACAGATTATCCTTGATTTGGCTAGTTAGCCTGCCCGCTTACCGCTTCTCAAATGCTAGGCCATTAAGGTTTCCTTATACAAGTACAAAAGATTGTTTTTCCTTGTATTCCTATTATAATTACATACCAGTACAAAGGCTTGTTTTTCCTTGTATTTTCCTATTATAATTAGATGCATAAAACCCAATGAAGGTTTTGCTATGGCGGAAATCTTTCTTTTTGTTTTTCTATGCGACCTTTCTTTTTGTTGTGTTTGTGGTTGCATATTCTTGATCATGTTACTGCATTCTTCTTCCATACTAAAATCCGTACTGTCATGCAAAACGAAGTACAAGGCTCATGATCTCTATATAAAAAGGTAAAATGTATTGACCCCTGATCAATCCTGAACTTAGTTTGTTGATTAATTGTCAGCATTAGGTGACTGTCTGATCCCAATTGTTGAAGCAGAAAATGAATTTAATTCTGGCTAGAGAACTTCATTTTGCATGAGTTGCAACTATAGTCATTTGTCTGGAAGAAACGGTAGGACATTTTAATGCTTCTTACATAAAATGGTTTTATAATCCCAATAAAAAATTGACTTAAAGAACACAAATGTGATGCATATAATCTATAGCTTAGACAGGTGATAATGTGATATATTTTACACCTCTAAATATTCACCCATCAAGACCTACTTACTTCATATTGGGTTTGGGTCAAGTTACTGGTTGGATTGAGATTGGCCTTAGCGCAATTGCTTTTTGATGATATACGGTCCTACAATCTACAATTGCAATCCAGATTAATTTTTAATGAGTTTACATATGAAAATCACTTCGTGTAAGAAGCATTAAAATGTCTTACTGATTCTTCCTTAACTCTTGTCTGGAAGAAACAGTAGGACATTTTAATGCTTCTTACATTAAATGTTTTTATAATCCCAATCAAAGAATTGTCTAAAAAAAACAAATGCGATGCATATAATCTATAGGTTAGTCAGGTTGCATATTTTACACCTGTACAAATTCACCCACCAAGACCTGCTAAGTTCATACTGGGTTTGTGTCAGGTTACTGGTTAGATTGAATTAGCCTTAGTGCAATTCCTTTTTATCATATACGGTCCTACAATCTACAATTCCGATCTTAACTTTGAATCTTAGTTTACGTATGAAAATGAATTCAAATACTTTGATTAGTATCTTTTTACTGGCACTGGTTAAGGAAACATCTGGAATGTATGTGTGCATTGACTCTCCGGCCTTGGATCCAAGAGATGCAGATACGCGTGGACAAGGATCCCATGTCATGTGGACCATGAGTTTGGATTTTGTGGATCTTGTGCTGGTGATGTGCTGTGAAATTTGCTCTTTTAGGAATAAAATATGAAAGCATCAAGTCTGACAATTCTTGGGTTCTATGCCAATTTGGCATGATGTACCAGTTGCTATTTTGGTGGGACATAGCTTTCCTATCCTGTATTTAGAACTAAATAGAAATATGTAACTTGTGATTAGGTTGCATGGTTCAAAATCCTTTTCCCACTTTGTGATGGTTAGTATACAGTGTCATATGTGCTGGACAATTTAATTAGTGAATTGGGTTATGTTCACCTAAATACCCAAAACTTTACCCTCTTTTTCAATTTTGCTACCCAAGTTTTCTTTTGCCCAAATGCCAGAGTTAAAATTTTTTCTAACTTTGGTAAGCCCATCAGTTGATATAATTAAAGGAGACTATAAGAGATTACAATGAGCAATTTGAATTCCAACTCCAATAGTTTAGCTTGTACCTTAGGACATAAACCTCCGTTGAACTTGCCTGCAAAAATTTACTTTGTCTGGAATGTTTTCATAATAAGCACCCTCATTACCTCAATTATTCTGAAAATAGGTTTCTCCCTTCCTTCTACGATGTTTGTGTTTGCTCTTTGTTGTCTGGGTTTTTAACTTTTTTGGGGTATTAAATTCAAATAACCTAAATAATTTATAAGATTTATTCTCCATTTCTTTCTAGCAAGTTTTTCCTCCGTCATACCATTTTTGAGTGTCTTATTATGGTAGCTAATCGTTGCCCACTGTTAAAGCTAAGGCATTTGGATGGTTTAGCGGCTTTAGCCCATATCTGTGTCTTTTCTGGCTAAAGCCAGTTATGATCTGTAAGCTAAAATTGTTTTAAACTTTAGTGGCATTTTCCTATCTTTATGTCTAGCTTATTTTTATATTGTTATTATGATCACACTTACTCATATTGAGAGTGTTTATATTTTACCCATCCTCAATTAGAATCAACCTGCTCTTGAGAAGGATCGATATAAAATTCGCCAGGCTTTCGTTGCTGCTCCTGGAAACTCTCTTCTTGTTGCAGATTATGGGCAGGTTGGTAGTCTGATGGTTACTACTACTGTTACTTAAGTTTTGGCATTTAACGGTAGGATAATCCATTATTTTGTATAATTTTCTGCATTTGAATATATTTTGCACAGCTGGAGCTTCGGATTTTAGCTCATCTGGCAAATTGCACAAGCATGTTAGATGCCTTTGAAGCTGGCGGAGATTTCCACTCCAGGACAGCTATGAATATGTATGAGCATGTCAGGAAGGCTGTAGAAGATAAGAAGGTACTTCTCGAGTGGGATCCTCAACCTGGGGAGGAGAAACCTCCAGTTCCATTACTAAAGGTATCTGTGGACTTAATATTTTTTTCTCATATCTTAAATGATGGAAAATGGAAAATTATCATGTGAAGAATGACTAAGTGTGGTGGTGTCATCTCTAAACCGGCGGATGATAATACATAGAGATGTTATTATCTGTCTATCATCGTTGTTGAGTTCTGAGTTCTTTACAACTGTTCCTTGCGTGGTTGTAGACTACTAAAGATTGCAATAGGTAAGTCTTCCTTATCGAAGTGTTCTTAGTGAATGAATACTTATAAGCCTTCAAATGTTTTAGTCTTGGTTGGTGGGCTAATCTATGCAAATGCTATATCATTCACCTTGTAATTTAATTATTCTGCCAATCCTGTTTTAACTTGTCATGTTTAAATCATAGCCTATTAATCCTTCTTTATGATGATGTAAGATACTGTTACATTCAATGACACCTGGACTTGCTTTTGGGCTTCTTTGGTGCTAACTCTCAAGCGTTTAGCATTATCAACACCATTGCACACTAGACGCAAAAGAATAAGTACAGCATGGCAAAAACACAATTATTTTGAAGTTTGTACTTTTTATAAAATTCTGAAACAGTACACTTAACAGGCGTTTTAAGGCCTTCACTCAAACGTCATGTTTCATGTGCAAACATTATTTCTATATTCATTTTTATGGTTTTATCCAGATAATAAGGTTCCCCCTTAGTTCTTCATCTGCCCATTCAGTACTTTTGGTGTATCACATTTCTTGTAGTCAACATGTCCTAGTTTTCTGTTTTACTTTTTTGATAAAAGGGCACTGATTCTAGTTTGAAAGAGAGAAAAAAATGCAGTGTCTGAGTACTTAAGAAGTTACAGGAGTGTGTCCAACAAGTACGGGATCTCAAATTTAAAATATATTATAAAATTGAAGATATTTTGAGGAAGAGGCACCGCTATATTTTGGATAATCACATTCACAACTGATGTGTGTTTGCTCGTGAATGGTGGTTACTCCTTACCTCAGCCAACCATATGTTTTCCTTTGAATGGGTAATTGTACGATTACATATATTAGGTTAGTTTAGCAGACGTGTTTATGTATAAATTTTCTTTTCCTATCAGGCTTCCAATTTTAGGTTTAAGAGTAGAATGAAGTTTTCTAGTTGAAAATTTGAATTAAAACCTCTACTATAAGTTTGCTGATGAGATTTATTCTTAATAAGACTAGTTGGAAGTAAATCTAGCAATTGCTTTTGTCGATATATTTATCTAATTTATTCTCGGTGTGTTTCTCCCTTGGCAGTTAAGTTCAATTCTAGTGCACTATAAAACTAATTGCATTGTGAATTTAGTTTTTAGCCTTGATGTTTTGCTGCTTGTAAGTTTTTATCAATACGCAATGTCACTTGGTTTGGAAAGCTTGAATTATCAGTAGTATCTGAAAGATTATTTGTTTAATTTCCTGTTGTAAAAATGAAATCTGTCAGAGCCATCAAAGTTGGTAGATGCAAACTTATGCATTTTCTGAAATTACTATGTTACAGGATGCTTATGCTGCAGAAAGAAGAAAAGCCAAAATGCTGAATTTTTCAATTGCCTATGGAAAAACTGCTGTTGGGCTGTCTCGGGATTGGAAGGTAAATTTTTCTACAGTTGGAGCTATTTAAATTTAAATTTGATGGTTTCAAAATGTAGGTGTAGATGTTTATGTTTGAGTGGTTGTTTTCAGACAGTTTCTCTCAGTAAATATTCCTGTTTGTGAACCATTGGTACGAATCACCGTGCGAGCACCTTTGATCGTTGAATTATCAAAGATGTCTTTTTGAAGAAAGTAGCAAACCACAAGAACAATTCAATATGGCGAAGAAAAATACATTTTCTAGATTATGAAGAACAATAGATTACAAATCTCTTTCCTCACAATCTCTCTAGAATAAGAACCCCTCTATTCTCTCTAGATTACAATAGCACCTGAATTTCCAAGTTCTAGTTGATGTTTAGAAACCCTAAACAACCTGTATTTACAGAGTAATCATCGTGGGTGACAAAGTGGTAAATATCCAAGACAAACCCAAATAGGATTTGCCCAGACTAGGAATCCAAACTGGCCTGGTAACTCGCTATCGCTCGACTGATGAAGGCTCATCAGTCGACCGGTAGGTCTTCATCGGTCAACCGATAAAGTGAGATCGGTCGACTGTCCAGTGCGGCTGTTTTCGCAGCCTGCATGTGCCTGTTGTCGGTCGACCGATGCTAAGCTTTGTCGACCGACCAAAGGTATTTTCCCAGCTTTGAATTTTCCTGGGATTCACGCAAACAAAATCCGTGTTCACCAACTGTACTGACCCACGCTTTTATTCTTAAGCTACCATGAGAATCATCTATCCTCAAGCTTTCACGCAAACAAATCCGCGTTCACCAATTGTACTGACCCACGTTTCTATTCTTAAGCTACCATGAGAATCATCTATCCTCAAGATTCCATAAGGATCGCTAAGTTTCTAAAGCAGAGAAGATACACCCGTATCATGGCTTCCTCTTTAGGAATTTGAAGTCCCGTTCAAGTTAGAACCTCAGCTGAGGAAACTCTCGAGCTCCTTCTTTGTTGAACTACTTGGCCTTGCTAGGAACCTGACATTGACATCCAATCAGAAACGACTCCTTCGTCCTCCGTCTAGTCGTAGTCACCTTTCGCTCCAATATGCAATCCTCTTTCAGTGGCTCCTCTTTATCAAACCACGTCTTCAACATGCGTCAAGATCACTTTGTCGTCACTCTCATCGTCCAGCAATGGAGGCTCGGACAACTTCAAGTACTTAACATTAATCACTGAATACATGCCTAAGTAAGGTGGTAAATCCAGTTTGAAGGCGTTGTCATCGATCTGATCAAGAATCCGAAACAGATCATATCGTAAATGCTTCAACTTTTTTCCTCCCTTTAGTCGCTCCTTACCTAACTTCAGCCATATCATGTCACATTTGTCAAAGTTACAAGGAACTCGATGTTGATCATGCTTCGTCTTGTACTTCGCTTGTGACTCTTCAACTGTGCTTCAACTGCGGCGTGAATCTGTGCAATCTTCTTCAGAAATCGCTGAGCTTTTTGTCTTTCGCTCCCTTCTTTATCGTCGGCTGTAGCATCACTAGAGAATACTAGGTCGAACGGACTTAGGTAAAAACCCGTAACAAGTCTCAAACGGTAACTTTTCCGAAGATATGTGAACCACTCTGTTGAAAGCAAACTGAAGATATGGTAAACTCTCATACAAAGTCTTGAGATGTCTGGAATTATGCCCCCGCAGCATGTGAACCATAGTCCGGTTGATTATTTCTGTCTGCCCCTCCGTCTGTAGATGAAAAGCCGTGCTTTTCTTCAATTTGGTATCCATCAAACCCCACAAAGAATTCCGAAAGTATCAAATGAACCTTCTATCCCGATCCGAAATAATTGAACTCGGGAAATCAAAGTGCTTCCACAAATGCTCAAAGAACAACTGGGCTGCACCCACTTCTGTTACTATCTTCTTATAAGGAATCAAGACCACTATCTTGCTGAACCTATCCACCAGAACGAACAAGTAGTCATGCCTGCGCTTGGTCGTTGGCAACCCTCCTAGGAAATCCATAGAGATACTCTCCCACGATCTAGAAGACACTGACAACGGTAGATATAATCCCTGTTTCCTATTAGAAGGCTTTCATATGCAACATAGCTTACATCTTCCAACATATTTGGTAACATCCTCTAACATCTTTGGCCAAAAGACATGACATCAAAGATTGTGTAGCATCTTTTAAATCCCAAAATGACCTTGTACACGCGATGTATGTGCCTCTCTAATCCACTGCAATCGATCGCCATCCTCCAGAATGCAAAACGATGTCCCACAATACGACAAATCATCTGCTCCGTGCTCATACTCCTCCTTCTAACCCGCTTTTACCTACTCAAACACACTACTGAAGTCTCTGTTGGATGTGTATATCTGTACATACTCCAAATAAATCAAGGGCCGAATACGCATCGCCACCAACAAAGCTCTCATTGGCGGTCGAGATAGCATATTGACCAACTTGTTGGTCGCCCCCTTCTTGTACTTAATGACGATGTTGAACGCCGTCAAATAGGACATCCACTTCATGTGCCGTGCCTGTTGTAGCCTGGTCTGGGCATGTAGATACTCCAACGGTTTGTGATCCGAGTGCACAACCACCTCCTTACCGATAAGTACACCTTCTAATGCTTGATCGATCGGTAGAGCGCATAAACCTCTTTATCGTAAGTTGGATAATTCTGAATAGCACCGTAAACATCTCAGAATGGTACTTCATCGGGTTCCCATCCTGCGTCAACCCGGCACCCATAGCATAGCTAGAAGGATCGGTCTTTATCTCAAAGGTCCTCTGTAAATTAGGCAACGTCAGCACTGGTGCCTCCGGGATCTTCCTTTTCAGTAACTGAAAGGACTCCTCTTGAGTCCAACCCCACTTGAACTGATCCTTTGCCTTAGTAAGGCCATGTAGGGGTGCCTCATAAGTAAAAAAGTGCTGAATAAATTTACGAAAATACTAACAAGCCCCTATGAAGCTTCTCACCTTTGTTACTGTCCTAAGCGTCGGTCATCTCGTGATAACCGTAACCTTGTTTGGATCTATCCTCCGCTGGTCCTTCCCCACGATGAAGCTGAGATACACCAACTCGTCCCTTTCAAACTCGCACTTTTTTCCATTGAGTTTTAGCTGACCATCCCGCAACACTTCAAACATCTTTTCGACATGAACAAAATGCTCCTCCTAAGTTTTGCTGTACACCAAGATGTCATCGAGGTAAACTATCACAAAATCGTTTATAAAAGGTCATAGCAAATCATTCATTAGCCTCATAAAGGTTGTCAGAGCGTTGCACAACCCGAACGACATCACCAACCACTCGAACAAGCCTTGCTTGGTTTTGAACGCAGTCTTCCAAGTGTCGTCCTCCCGAATCCTCAACTGATGGTAACCATACTTAAGATCTAACTTTGTGAAGAACCTCGCTCCCTCCAACTGGTCCATATGATCATTGATCATCGGTAGTGGGTAACGATTCTTGATCGTTATCTTGTTGAGCGCCCGGTAATTCACACACATGCGCCAGCCTCCATCCTTTTTGGACACCAATAACACTGACGACCCACAAAGCGAACAACTCAGCATTATCACTCCCTTCTCCAGAAGTTTCTTCTCCAGAAGTTTCTGAACTTGCCTCTATCTCCTCGAACTCTTGTACAGATGTGCGGTAAAAACCTATATTCGGTAAGGAACTCTCTCCTATCAGCATAATCTCATGTTCCACACTCCGTCTTGGCGGTCCAGTGATCTCCGAAAACAAGTCTGCATACTTGGTCCTTAAAGATCTCCCTCTTGGAGTTTGCTCAAGATAGTTAAGCATACTCTACTCAGCTACTCCTCCAAAGGCCTAATGAACAACAAGACAAACTTCTTGTTTGCATTCACTAGCCTCTTTGCTTGAGTCATCGTCACCAAGTTTGTTTCCTGCGGAAGAGACGCAGAACGAAATACGAATTGCTCGTCGTCTTTGGTGAACGTATACTTCTGAGTCCGCCTGTCGTAGATTGCGTACCTATCCCACAGATAGGGATTGTCCAGTATAACGTGACAAACATCTAATGGAACTACGTTGTAAGTGACCTCATCAATATATGACTCATGGAGTGCAAACCTGAAAGTGTATTAACTACACTCAGCCCCTCCTCCTTTTGAATCCACCTCAATGGATAAGGCTTTGGATGCCTGATCGTCTTCAGACCCAGCTTCTGAACCAAGCCCTCAGAGATCAGATTCTTCTGACTGTCTGGATCAACTATGGCATCTACCAAACTGGTCTTTACTTGCAACTTGATAACAAATAGTTGCTCCCTGGGGTATAGTTGCTCCCTGGGGTCTTCGTCCTCCCTCGCGGTCTGCTGTCCTGCCATAAGATTGAGACTGCTGTTGGGCTCCGTCATACCTGACACTTTTTTTGGACCTTGTGCTATCACATATGTTTTTTTCTCCTCCTTTTTCAACCCATTCGGTTTGAGATGGGGATACTTCTCCCAACACCGATCAACGACATGCCCTGTCTGCTTGTAATGACTACAAATCGGTCCTGCTTTCTCTGACTCACCGTTCTTCTCCTTAGGTTAGGAACCATTAGACTTGTCTCCAGCCTGCTTGGTATCACCCTTCGTCTCATTGCTCTTCTTCTGCTTGCCTTCAATGGCAATAGCCTTCATGTTAGCCTTCGCAATCGACTCAACCATGAATAATTTCATCTCCTTCCGAATGTATTCATTCAAACCCGTCATATACTTCATAAAAACAAAGTACTCTTTCGTCGCAATATTTAGGACCATAGCCTGCTGTTGAAATTCTGTAGTATATTCTTGAACAGTTTGAATCTTTGACGCAAACCGTATCACTTGTACCAACGCTCTTCAAGAAATCTCACCGGGTAAAACTGTTTCCTAAGGAGATCTTTGAACCTTTTCCACGACACAGATTTTTTCTCCTACTTGTAGTAGGATTTTCACCACGTCATCACGTGTCCGAAAAGATTCAGTGTCGTAAAGACGATCTTCTCCTTAGACGAA